TGAAGGAGATCAAGGGGATACAAATTGGAAAGGAAGAAATCAAAGTAGCTTTATTTGTAGATTATATAATTTTGTACATAAAAGACCCTAGAAACTCCACCAGGGAACTCCTATAGCTGATAAACACTTTCAGCAAAGTAATAAGATACAAAATTAGCACACAAAAATGCTATATATAAATGACAAAGAAAAAATCAGAAACAATATCTTTTATAATAGTCTCAAATTTTGGGATAATTGTAACTAAGCATATGAAAGATTTGTATAATAAAAAATAATACACTGAAGTAAGAAAATTGTACAAGACATCAGATTATGGAAAGATCTCAGGTGTTCATGGAACAGTAGGTTAATACTGTGAAAATGGCCACCCTGCCATAAGCAATATACAGATTTAAACCATTCTCTATCAAAACTCCAGAACAATTTTTTTGGGGGGGTTTCGAGATAGGGTTTCTCTGTATTGTTTTGGAGCCTGTCCTGGAACTTGCTCTGTAGACCAGGCTGGCCTCGAACTCACAGAGATCCGCCTGCCTCTGCCTCTCGAGTGCTGGGATTAAAGGCGTGTGCCACCAATGCCCAGCCAGAACAATTTTTCACAGAAACTGAATAAGCAATTTTCTACTTCACATAGAAATAGGAAAAAAACAGGATAGTTAAAACAACCATAAAAAAAAACTGCTAGAGGTGTCACCACCTCATATTTTAAGTTGTGTGTTATAGAGCTATAGTAATAACAACAGTGTGACTAGCAAAAAAAAAATGGTGATGAATGAAATAGAACTGAAAACTCAGGCATGTGTTTCCATACCTATGGAAATTTGAGTTTTGACAAAGAAGCCAAAATACACAATAGAGAAAAGACAGTATCTTTAACAATGGGGATTGGTCAAAATAGATGGCTGTAGATGAGTGAAAATATATTCATATTTATCACCCTATACAAAACTCAGCTCTACATGGATCAAGGACAAAAGACTAGCTACCCTGAATATGTTAGAAGAGAAAGTGGGGATAGTCTTGAACTCACTGGCAAGGGAAAGGATTTCTCAAGAGGGCACTGAGAACACAGACATTAAGAGAGAACCTCATGAAACTGATCGAAGCAGAGGCTTACAGAAATGGAAACAATCCTTACCAATTACACGTCCAATGAAGGGTTAGCATATAAAATATAAGAAGTAAAAATGGACACAAAGAAAACAAATAACCCAATTAAAATGGAATATAGAACTAAACAGTTCTCTAAAGATGAAACACAAATAAACATTCACTTAAAGAAATGTTCAACAGTTGGGCTTTGGTGGCGCACGCCTTTGATCTCGGCACTCAGGAGGTAGAGGCGAGTGGTTCTTTGAGTTTGAGGCCAGCCTGGTCTACAGAGCGAGTTCCAGGACATCCAGGACTACACAGAGAAACTCTGTTTCAAAAACAAACAAACAAATAGAAAGTTTAATTTTGGTGTGTGATTTTGTTTTGTTTGGCTTTTGTTTTTGGGGGGGTGGGATCTTACTGTTTCTTGTTTTCTGAGTTTTATAATCTTAGATTTCATATTATGATCCATTTTTAATTGATTTTGTATGATGTGATATATAGCTCTTAGTTCTCCAGGTATGTATTACAGACTTGTAATTTTTCAAAATTCTCTGTTATCATAGCTCTTTCCTCTACCAAGATTTGTCTTCTCGTACTTGTCTGATGAGTGTGGGCCGTCCTTGAGCGGTTAACACTGTTGCACTGAGCTCCTTGTATACATTTACACAAATGCTCTATCTATGAGCTTGTAATTCTTTGTATACATTTACACAAATGCTCTAACTATGAGCTTGTAATTCTTTGTATACATTTACACAAATGCTCTATGAGCTTGTACTTCTTTGTATACATTTACACAAATGCTCTAACTATGAGCTTGTAATTCTTTGTATACATTTTCATAAATGCTCTATGAGCTTGTAATTCTTTGTATACATTTACACAAATGCTCTATGAGCTTGTACTTCTTTGTATACATTTACACAAATGCTCTATGAGCTTGCAGTTCTTCGCATACATTTACACAAATGCTCTATCTACGAACTTGCAATTCTTGAAACAAACTAGTGTTGACCCTGATATTTTTGTACTTTTTCAAGGCTATTTGGTCTTAGATCACTTCCAGTTGGGTATGAATTACACAATCCCTTTGTTGGTTTTTTAAAAATTGTAAGTTCTGAAATGAAAACAAAATCTTTCCTGAAAGGAAAATGAATTTAGAATTTGTCATTTTCAGCCAGTACTATGTGAAAGGCTGAGGCAGGCCTCCTTCATTATTGAGGCCAGTCTTAGTAAGATCTTTCTCAAAACAAAATGTCGGAACGTTATGGTTAGCCTCAAAAGATGGCTCAGGTGTAAAGGCACTTGCATGCTACCAAGCCTGATAATGAGTTTGATCTCTAGGACCCCTTCAGTGGAAAGGAAAACTGACTGTGACCTCAACCACCTGATAGAGTACAAGTACATCCTGCCCTCAAACACGTAAATAAATGCAGGAGGGAAGAGAGATCTCAACAAAAGATCTAAGACAAATGGGAGAGAATGGCCAATAGGCAAAAGAAGAGAGACAGGACGGGGTGGTGGGTGTCTGACAAAGGCACTAAGAGACTAAAGAAGGACACTGTCCAGGCCAGTCTGGACTACAGAGTAAATTTTAAGTCTTCTCCCTCCACTTCCCTAAGAAGGGAAATAAAGACCTACAGAGAATATAGATTTGTAGAAAACAGAGGAAGAAAAGCTTTTTGTTATTTGTTTATTTATTTATTCATAAAATCCAGATTGGTGCTGAACTTTCTTTGTAACCAAGGATGACCTTGAACTTCCGATTTTCTTGCCTTCACCTCTAGGACCCAGGATGACAGACATGTGCCACTTTCATCCCCTGTTGTGGATCAAATCCAGACCTTCCTGCATGCTAAACACGCACTCAACCACCTCAACTATATCCCAAAGGTTTTAAGCTACTTTGAATAAAATGTATATTAAATTTCCACTTGCTTTTAAAGAACAATGTGCATGTAGAGGATATAATTTTATGAGAAGAGATGAGGATGGCCTTTGGGGACTTAATATGAGGTAATAAAACATAGCAATAAAATGACCCCTAACAACATTCTGCCACACCTATAAATCAGTATCTCACCTGGCCACCGTCATGGAGGCTCCCTCCTGCAGCAGATGGGAACTAATACACAGACCACACATGGCCGATGTGTGGACAGTGAGCGACTGTGAAATGGTCGGTCCAAAATAGGATGCCTTCATTAAGCCAACTGCCGCCTTAGATGCTCAAGGGTGTATGCAGAAGAGGCAAGACTGCAAGGGTCAGAGGTCATGGATGACTCCTAGGAGGCAGTGTGTTACAGACACACAGGTGTGACACATGTGTGAACTCAGAGTCTGGCAGCACGCACAGGACCTGCACAAGTCCAAACCAGACAGGGCCCCAGTGCTAAGAAGCAGACAGAAGCCCCTGTTCCCAAGCTAGACACCATCTCCAGCTGACAACACTAGCAAAGGGACCGTTAACTTCCTCCAGTGGCGTGTCTTGCTGGGTGTATAAACCACACACCAGGGCAAACCTCATGCCAAGCAGTAGATGGCCAAGACAAAATGGACTCAAAGGTATTTCCGCAATTTTTCCCCCGCCTCATTTTGCTTTGTTTTGGCACTTTTAAAACCTTACTGGCCTTTTTCTTATACATTATGGTTTCTGATTTTGTGTTTATATGGGGTTTATATGTGTCTCTTGAGCTTTTTTTTTATTCTTTCTTGTAGTTTATGGGGTTTTTCTGTTTGCTTTTTGTTTTTTGGTTTTTTTTTACCCCTGTTTTCTGAAGAGAGAGAAAGACAGTGTGGAATTGGGTAGTAGTGTGGGGAAGACACGGGAGAAAGTGAGGGAGGGACAAATTATAGAGATATACTGTATAAAATTATTTTCTAGTAAACATTGAAAAAGAATACTGTGCATATAATTGTCTATTGATGATATCAACTATATAACCAGTTTTTTTGTTTTGTTTTGTTTTTCAAGACAGGGTTTCTCTGTGTAACTTTGAAGCCTGTCCTGAAACTCTCTGTGCAGACCAGCCTGACCTCAATTCACTGACAGTCACCTGCCTCTGCCTCCCAAGTGCTGGGATTAAAGGCACCTGGCCTAACCAGGTTTTTTTTCAGGTTATTATTTATTTTGTGTGTATATATAACACAGCCCAGGTGTGAAAGTTAGAGCCGAATGTACAGTAATTTATCCTTCTACCATGTGGGTCTTGGGAAACAAATGCAGACAGACTCTCAGGGTTAGTGGCAGTGCTTTTGCCTACTGGGCCATCTGAGGTTCTTTTTTAGCTTAGGGATTTTGTTTGTTTTGCTTTTGCTTTTGCAATAGGATGTTACACAACATTAGCTTGTCTTTAACTTGCTATGTTGTCAACCAGAACCCAAAAGAGAACGAGTCTCCCCCACCCCAGCTCTATAATCCCCCTACATTCCACGTATTTGTGACCACACCCAAATGGGTACGTAGATCTCTCCCTACAAGTAATAATATATTTTAAAATTCTTAAGTGGCTAGAGAGATAGCTCAGCAGTTAAGAGCTCATACTGCTCTTGTAGAGAGCCCAAGCTCAATTCCCAGCCCCCATGTTAAAATAAATCTTTAAAAAATAAAATAGATGACTCAGAGGTTAGATGCACTTTCTGAGCAATCATGTGAACCATGGTTCAGATTCCAGTGCCCACTAAACAACTGGGTATCACATGCATACCTGTAACCCCAACTCCGAGGAAGGAAGATCACTAGAGCTTGCTGGCTTGTAGTGCAGTCAAGAAAACCCAAAGCTCGGGGTCAGGGAGCAATGCCTCAAAAGCAATAGACAAGGACACTCAATTCTCTCTTTTGGCCCCACGGGTACCTGCACATAATCAATCAATCAATCTTTTTAAGAGTGAAAGTAAATAAATACCTTAGAGCACTACTCGGGTTCACGTCCATGTTCCTTTGGGCGTAATACTTTTCTCTGTATTTTACCCCATTTGCAGATCTTTATTCTTCTATCTTGAGCACAGGGGGAGGGTAGGGGAGAAAGGATAAAGAGGAGGGAAAGAGGAGAGGAGGAGGAGGGAAGTGCTTATGGCAAGCTGTGAAGGGGGCAGTAATGTTGGAGGTGAGGTGTCCTCTGATACATGGAGGCTCCCTGTTAGAATGTGGAGCATTTCACCTGGAATTTCAGTCATAGCAACCTTTGTGATCCAGTACTTGAAACACTAGGTCACACAAGTGTTAGCCAACTTCCTGTGGAATTTCTAAAGGAGGTTGCAAGCTTTATATATATATAAATATATATATATATTGGTTTTTCGAGACAGGGTTTCTCTGTAGCTTTGGAGGCTGTCCTGGAACTCGCTCTGTAGACCAGGCTAGCCCCGAACTCACAGAGATCCGCCTGCCTCTGCCTCCCAAGTGCTGGGATTAAAGGCGTGCGCCATCTTACACCTATTCCACTGAACAAAAGTAACAGATGTGGGTTTTCTTGGGTTCTTTTTTTTCTGGTTAATTGTGGGATTTTGAAGTGAGAGCTGGCCAGTGAGATGACTTGGTAGCCATCTATCAAGACTTTGCTGCTAAGGCTGGCAACCTGATCTCAGGATCCACATAGTAAGAGAGAGATGGCATTGCTATGTTGTCTTTGACCACCAACACACATATGTAACACGAAAAATAAAACTCAGTGACAGATATTGGGGGATCAAGTTGAAAGATAAGAGAAGCGCAGCCAAGCCACTAGCTCTTACCTCTAGCCAGGTAAAGCAACTCTGCCCTGTACACGGCTGGAAACCAAAATGACCCAGACTGAATATCTGCTCCTATCTTGTATACCTCAAGTGCTGGGATTAAAGGCATGGGATCACAAGTGCTGAGATCATCTTTGTGTGAGCTCTTTTGCTTTTAGACTGGGTTAATCCCTTTAGCTAACGTGGCCTTGAACTAACATAGGTCTGTCTACCTCTGTCTCTGAGTCCTGGGATTAAAGGTGTGTGCCACGTCCTATCTTCCATAGCTAACTAGTGTAGCTGGCTTTGCATTCTGATACTTCAGGCAATCTATTAAATCATAAATAATATATCAACACACACAGAGAAAGAGAGAGAGACAGAGCGAGAGAGAGGAGATAGTTTTTTTTTTTAGGAGAGATTAGTGATTTTTAACCGGTGTGTTCCTCTCCAAGTTGCTTTTGGCTATGTAGTTTTATCACAGCAATAGAAACCTTAACTAAAGCAGATGGATTTGACTTGTAAACAGAGGAGTCTCGTCTATCCTGTAACTTGCTCTTCTGTCTCTACTTCTAAGGGATTACACCTCCTACTTCCTATTTATTGTCATGTGATGCCCATGGCCACCCTAGGACTCTGCTGGCAAGAAGGCCAACACCAGATGCAGTGACCTGTTCTTGTGGCTCCCAAATGGAAAGCCAAGATAAACTTTTTTTTTAAAGACAAGTTCTCACTGTGGCCTCACACTCAATTTGTAGAACCAGTTGTCAGCTAATTCATGGCAACCCCCAGGTGCTGGGGCTGCAGGTATGCAACAACATGTCCAGCCTATAAGTTACTCTTCTTTCTGAGGTTACAAAGAAAGAAATTATTGTGATGTTTCTAAAATGCTAATTTAGTTTTATCTTTAGGACTGAAAGATGGAAGTCCAAGATGGTAGCACTTATTAGCATATGTGAGGCTCTAGAGTCTACTCTAAGCACAGCATTTTTAAATGTAGTATAGCTCCAGCACACAGACAGGAGTAGCAAGGGTTCAAATCCACTAGGCTGCACAGTTACACAGAGTCATGTCGGTGAGACCCCACCTCAAAAACAAATGAATAAACAAACAATTCCTGTAACCCCAGCACATCACTCTTGGGAGAAAATAATAGTTTAGAAATTCAAAACAAACAAACAGGCTGGAGAGAGAGTTCAGTAGTTAAGAGTGTACACTGCTCTTATAGAAGACCAGAGTTTGAATGCCAGGACCCTTGGGTTCACAACTGAAAGGTTCGGGCGTCACACTGGCCTGCCTGTTACCTGGCAGGATGCACTCTGGCCAGCCAAGAGTTCCGTGAGAACCAGTCTGCATGCAGGTGCAAAGGACCCCTTTAAAGAACACTCCCTGCCTACTCTCTCTCTCTCTCTCTCTCTCTCTCTCTCTCTCTCTCTCTCTCTCTCTCTCTCTCTCTCTCTCTCTCCCCCTTTCGGTCTCTCTCCACTATAATAAACTATGATTAATACACTCTCCATGGCCCATGCTGTATTGTGCTGATTCCTGTCCCCAGTTCCTGCTGACACTTTCTTTTTCCTTTTTTCTAACTTCTAATCTTAAGCAAAATAACAACAACCACCTTTAATTCTAACTCCAGGGGATCTAATGGCTTCTTCTGGCCTCCATGGGCATCTACATTTATGTGTACATAAACACACATATAATAAATAATAACATAAAAATGTTTACCATTGAGCTCATCTCCAATCATTAGTTTTGTGACAGGATCTTGTGATGTATCCAGACTGGCCTTGAATTCCTCTGTCCTACTGATTTAGCTTCCACCTGTCAGGGTTGCAGGTCATAACACCATATCTTACTCTTCTAAATACATTACATATAAACTTAATGAATTTCTGTCTTTTTAAATCAACCCATTTTGGGTTGATGTTAAAGACCTGTAATCCAAGTACATGGACTGCAGGGACAGGAGAATGTCAAGTTCTAGGCCAGTTTAGGCTACATGGGACTATGTTTCAAAAATAAGTAAATTAGCTAGGTGGTGGTGATGCCCACCTTTAATCCCACTACTCTGGGGAGACAGAGGTAGGTGGATCTCTGTGAGTTCAAGGCCAGCCTGGTCTATAGGGGGAGAACCCAGGACAGCCAAGGCTACATACAGAGAAACCCTGTCTTGAAAAACCAATCAATCAACCAGTCAATAAGTGAATAAATCACTGAAGATGTAGAACATTAGCCTTGGGTTTCATTATATAATTCATATTGACATATTTTTAAAGTTCAGTTTAAAAACCTTTTGAATTAGGACCTGACTTCAGTTCCCAGAACCTACATGGGACAGCTCACAATTCCAGTTCCAGAAGACCCAATATCTCTGACCTCTGCAGGCACCTGAACACAGACACACATATAGACATAGATAAGAAAAATAAACTTTATTAGGACACAAAACTCAGGGGATTCAAGTTGAGTCTAATCTGAAAGCTTCCTTCCTATAGTCTAGCTTCCTCAGTTCCAGAAAGCCCTGTGCAAACTGCCAGGAGAAGAAAGCAATCCATAGCCCTCTAACTATGTTACCTATGAACCACAACAATGACCAGCATGGCAAGATATCCTTAAAGGGGCAACAGTGGTATACATGTTGGTGACAGCCAACTGTTGTCTAATTGTACTTCAGGCCCAGTCAACAGAAGAGAAACCAGTCCTTGTACTAGAAACCTAGTGAACTACTCAGGGCTAGAGTGAGTCATGGATCAAGAAGTGAACCTACCACTTTATTAGACCAGCATAATAATAATAATTATTGTTGTTGTTGTTATTGGTTTTTTGATTTAGCTTTGGAGGCTGTCTTAGAACTAGGTCTTGTAGACCAGACTGGCCTTGAACTCACAGAGATCTGCCTGCCTCTGCCTTTCAAGTGATGGGATTAAAGGTGTGTGCCACCACCACCCAGCTGACCAGCATAATTCTTAACTGCATTCTAAAAAATCATCCTATTATACTCACAGATAAGTGTAGCTTTAAACCTTCATCAAAACTGTTTCTGTTTACATCAAATAGAGATGGTTACAAAAAAAAAATCACAACTGGATACAATATAGAGATCAACCAGTCTTGGAGATCTTGGCCCAGTGGATACATCTACAACACAACTCCTGTACTTGAGCCTTAGAAAACATGTAGAAAGAGAGGGCAAAAAGTTTGTAAAAGCAAAAGGCTGGATGTGGTGGCACTCACCTTTAATCATAGCACTTGGGAGGCAGAAGCAGGCAAATCTGAATTTGGGACCAGCCCGGTCTACATAGAGAGTTCCAGGACAATCAGAGATACATAGAAAGACCCTATCTCACAAAACCAAACAAACAAATAGACAAAATGTTTGTAAGAGCAGAGGGGCCAGGAAATCTGTTGTGAGACTAGGTATCCCAGAAATGACTGTCTTAGTAATGTTCACCAGAGAAGATTGCCATCATGGGGTCAGTTGTGCTAAGATTTGGGAGTCTTCTAATGTCTGGGGCCCTATAACAGTAATATCTAAGCAGGGACAATATCAATAGAAATGCTAATTCAGTAAGAAGGGGATTTCACAGGCAACTGCACAAAAGCATACAGGTAGCTAGTGCCTCTCTCCTAGGAATGAGGCCCCAATTTGTTTTCCAGTACAAAGTGGTCAGCCCTAAAATCATATACACACAAACAACAGAAATGGACCCAGCAGGTTGTTCCAGATATTTGTGCATCTCTCACTATATATGAAACAATAATGAAAAAAGGCCATCAATTCAGGGGGGCACGGAAAGGTTGGAGGAAAGAAAAGGAAAAGGGAAGTGATGTAATTATAGTTATAGTTTTATCTTTTTTTCAAAAGAAAACACTGAATAACTTGTTTTTGAGACAGCGCTCATCTAACCCAGTCTGGTCTGGAAGTAACTACATGTTTTCTGCTCTAGTTGTGTTAATCCTATTAACCAAATTCTTTTAGTCAAATTAAGTCAGCTTTATTTTTTGGTAGACATGGCTATCTCTCTAAAACAGGATTTGAGAAACTGGCAGTGACCACTGGGTTTATATAGCCCAAAAAACTGTAAGACTAGGAGGTTTTCAAGGGCCGGGGGATTTCCAGAGGAATCTGAGTTACATAGGAACTTAACTAAACACTTCAAATGTATTTAGCAGACCACCTTATAAGGGTGGTGGTCAGGGTATGGGATATCAAATTCCAGAAAATGCGTGAAGACCTGGTCCAAGCTAAGTTTAAGAAAAAAAAAGAAAAAGGATGAACTTATTTTGAACTTGTAATGGAGATGTCTTTGAATCTTAACATGGAGTCAGGCTGGTCATCAATTGGCAGTGGGAACCTGGGAGAGTGAAGACTAATATTGAGGTAGGCTAAAATCTCATGTGATAACCAAC